ACTTAGTGTTAGCATTCTCGTGGGTGTGTAGTGGTACCTCATGTTTTTAATTTGCCATGACGTGATGATTAATGATTTTAATGACTTTTTCATGTACATATGGGACAACCATATATATTCTTTAGCAAAGTGTTTGTGCAAATCTTTTGTTCATATTTGATGTTTTTGTATTTTTATCTTTGATTTGGAAGATTATTTATACATCCTAGCACCAGTGCTTTTTTATATATATGTGTGTTTGTGTATATATATACATATATATTATATATATGTATATATAATATGTATAAATGTATATTCATATATATGGAGAGAGAGAATGTAATTTCCCAGTATATAATTTATATACTGTAATTTATACAGATTGTATATTCATTTTATTGAAGGTAATTCTTTTTATGATCTAAGAATGACTTTCCTGCTCCCAAATCACAGAGATATTTCCCCTTAAAAGCCTATGTTTTTAGCTTTTACTTTTGATAACAGTGTGTGGTATAGATTTAGGTTCATTTTGTCCACACAGAGTTCAGTTATTCCAGCACCATTCACTGAAAAGACTGCTTTTTCTCATTGGATCACTGCCTTTGTCAAAAAATCAAATGACCATACATGTGAAAGTCTCTATTTCTGGAGTCTCTATTTTATTCCATTGTTTGATTTGTTATGCTAGCCTGACACTGTCTTGATTACAATAGCATTGCAATAAGTTTTAAGTTCTCCAAAACTGTTATTCTTTTTCATGATTGCTTTAGGTATTCTAGGGTCTTTGCTACTAACTACATAATCCTGAGAAAATGACTCTACTACAATAAGATTCAAGTACTACCTAGGTAAAATATGGATAATTAGAGTGCCCATTTTGCAGTATTGGTGATTAAGAGAATCTATGCAAAGTTTTAAGTATAGAATAAGTTCCTAGTGTTAATATTAGCTCTTAGTATATTATTATAATTATATGGCTAACACTAATAAAGAAGGGAAAATCTAATGATGTTTTGCAATGGCTACAATATTTCTATTTTTAAGTGCTCTATGATTTTATTTATTAGGTAACTGAGCCCCAGAGAGGTTAGCTGGATTTAAAATTTGAAGTAGAACTCATTTAGAATCTATGAGTTTCATATTCAAATCCTTTGTTTAATTCTTTTATTAAGTTGATGTAACTTTTGAGCATAGTAATTAAGTTTCAGTTAATTTATACCTCAATTTCCCAGACTGCTTCTTGTAAATAATTTTCATTACTTTATAGTATGCAACAACACTTTCAAAATCAGTAATGGTTTTCTATTATTCCAAAATTTCTAATATGGCTTCTAGAAGCACTCAGCTTCTAGTAAAGGCCCGGGAAAATATTTTATAAAATAGTCAATGAAATAATTCACAATTATCAAACCATTTGTATAAGCTGGCATGGCTAGCAAATTGCGATGCCTACTTTTATTTCATATTTTTAAAATTTTTTATCTAAATCTATTTGCTTTATAATGATTTGGATAGATCATATTATAATCATATACCCACCTAACTTCAAATCTTTTTATAAGGCTTCAATTTGCTTAAATGTAAAGATTACTTTCTTATTGTCAGAATTCATGGAGTTTAACACTTGAAGTTAGGTGTAGGCGGAGATATTTGCACACCACTTGTGCAGAAATGTCTTTTCTCTATTTAGCATGTGATAAACCTAGAAACAATGAATAGCTCTAAGTACGTATTGTGTGTGCATATATATAAGTGTAAGTATACATGTAATTATAGATGCTAATGTTGGTTGATTCAGATATATATTGGTTAATATTGGTTGATATTGGTTTATTCAGATATAATATATTCATCTGTAAATGATCACAATGAGTTTATGTTGTTCATGATATTGTCAGTTTGAAGTTCTTTCGTCTCCATATATATTGCAGTCCTGTTATGATTTTTTGCCTAGAAAAAAATAGTTTACTTTCTTATGCTAAATAGTTTATTTGCTTATGTTAATTTTAAGCTTGTAAAAATAGTTTGCAAGCTTAAATTTTCATGTTCATAAAAAATATTTGACTACCACAACTTGTTCTTTTGAAAATAGAATTATCAAATCCTCCAGGTATTCTAATAAAGTTTTATTACTCTTTAACCGTACACTCTCCTTAATTAATTTTAAGTTTCTAATATATATTACTCATCTAAATGTTGAATACTATTCAAAACAGTGCTATTTTTAATAAAACTTATTTTTAATGAAACTTACTGGGGCACTACATTTAACTTTATCAAGATTAACAAAGCATATAGTTGAAACCTATTTTATTCAGTCTAAATCACTTCAAAACTTTTTAGGACTTAACAATACTATAAAATTGCTACCAGTTTTTGAATGTTTTTAATATATGCTTCGTTAAGTTTTATTTACATATATAATATACATATTTAATAATTTACATACATATATAATATAGAAGGTACATTACTGCTCTTCTCATATCTCTAACACCTAGAGAATAAAAGTCCCACAACCTAGGACTTGGCCCCAGGTAGCAAAACACAGCGAACCATTCAAGGCCAATTCTGTTGATTTCCCTCCAGATCTTCTCTATCCTGTGAATCAAGAAAATAGTTTTCCATAGGCTTGAATAAACAACAAGTTCTCAATGATTTTGGTTTTCTTCTGATGTTTTTGTTTATGTGCTGAATCATTTTCAGCACATTAAATGGCTAGTGTTCTATCCAACTCAAAATGTTAATAAGATTAGAAAACACAAAAGATTTTTCTCAGCTTCTCTACTCTATCATCCACCATTTGTGGCAAAGGGTACTGTCTAGTGAATGGGAATGGTAAGAGGTACAAGCAAATGGGATAAGGGAGAAAATTCCATTAATATTTCAAAATATTATTCTACCACGTACTTATTTCCCTTTATTCTTTTAAGAAATTTATTATATTCCTATAAGAAATCATTATAATTGTCCATTTAAAGATGATAAAATAGAGGCTTATTGCTGCTGACTGACTTTCCTGAACTGAGGTTCAGCCAGCTCTCAACTTTACCTCCTCTTTGAAGAGAAATCCTCTAAGTCAGCATTAGCAAATCACTCTGCTCTGTGGCTATGCTGCCAATGACACCTGAAGTCTAAAATGAATGTAATAAAAATGTTCTGATTAAATAATTAACAAAAACGAGAATGGAAAAACCCAAGAGCCCTGAAATCATTGATATATTCTAATGCTCTGATCCCAAATGTCAAACATGGTAGAAATATAGTACAAAAATGTACACATGTAATACGGACATTTTACTATCAAATATATGAGTAATAACCCAAACTCCTTAACCTCAGAAACAAAATATATCATATCATTTATTTTATAAATTAAGTGTTCTTCACACTTATAAGTTCACTGAGTTGTGTTTCTGTGAATGTCAAATTCATAATCTCTTTTAGAATTTTAATCCATTTTGATTCCTTATCTGATTTTTGTTTGAATGGTTTGATAATATACAAACTTAAATAATTACATTTAATGTCATGGATAATTAACAAATGGAAATAGTCGTGGTCACAGATATAGTATTCAAGGAGCTGTAGATTTGGGGAAATCAGGGGAAATCAATCAAAAATATACTTTTAACATTCAGTTTTTGAAATTTATATACCATGTGCAAAGTATAAGGATGGTGAATGAAAAATTATGACTGATTTTTTTTCAAGTTTTCAAATATTCTGTAAAAATCTGTGATTTTTATTTAAAAAATGACAACAAATGGAGATTTCTTTAAAATACATATTCAAAACTTGACCCCGCCAGGAATTTTGTGAAGATACCAAGAGTCCCAAAGAGATGAATGTTTCAAAGTTGTTTTTTTTGAGTGAAAAAACAAAAACAAACAAACAAACAAAAAACATTTGCAAGTGCCCAAATACTTCTAATGCTGATTCTAGTCCTTCAACATTTCCAAATCAAGTTCAATTTCACTACTGAGAGACTGCTAATCTTCAGAGACAAACTGTTTGATGTGTTTTTTTTCTACAGAACAGCTCTGGATCTATTGCCTCAAAAGAAACTACTTTCTCTAGATGATAGCGAACATAAGCCTGAGGGGGCTCTTTTCCTGAAGTCATGGGGTCAAGGGGAACACAGACAACTGCAGCCCCAGAGCTGAACGCATATCTGAAAAGACCAACTCAGAGATATTACTTCTTCTCACACTAGTGCTTTTTATGACTATATTGTACTTTCTGTATTCTGTCTTCTTTGGCTCTTTTCTCTAATTTTATAGTTGAAGATGATTTTGTAACTGCCTCTCAGCTATCGTTTTTACAGGCACAACTATCTAAAATACTTTTTTCCCTCAAAATCTGTGTAGTCAACCTTTAATTACATTTGTACTTGTGTATCGAATTTTTCTTCTTGATATTATTTATTCTGTGGACATTTTCCTTGGTCAGTAGAGGTCAGTTGATGCAGGAAACGTCTTGTTTCTTCATTTTAATTAACTTCTAAAGTGTAAAAGGTACTTTGAAAAATTTCAAATTTACAAAATTTTTACTGTGCACACTTAAAAGCTTGCAATATTCATGATTTTCTTAATGCTCTCTCATCTTTGCAAGATAGGGACTCTTATTGAGGGATACTTACATGCTCACTTTGTAGAAATGCATTTATTAAAGCTCCATCATTAAAATTGAAAATGTATAAAAGATTTAAACATGTAAACTTATCACAACCTACTTTTCATGTGCATTGTGAAGGGAAACGACATTGAAACTATTAGTAAATCATGATACAAATGAAAAACAGTTGATGTCAACAAATAAAGAGATTCACTGAGTCAAAAAATAAACAAGGTAATCAAAAATTATTCTGAAACCTTATTTGGGCTTTTTTGAAACGGCAAGGAATTTTATTTATGCCCACTTGTTTCTTTGTTTGTTTTTAGTTGACTAATGTTATTTTTTTGTGTATCATAATTTTTTTCTTTTTACTATTAAGGATTATTTTGTTTTTTCCTTAGGCTTGAATCACCGACCAGGTCCTTGATAATGGAAGCTCCTCGAGGGGTCCAGGTGAGTGCAGCTGCAGGAGACTTCAAGGCCACCTGCAGGAAGGAGCTCCATTTGCAGTCTACAGAGGGGGAGGTGAGTTCTCAAGGATAGAGACTGGCCCTTTACTGCTGAGGGTCTTGCCTCTCAAAGTATATGCATATGGTTCCAAGTGAAACATAAAGAACTGCATCATAAGAGAATTTAAATTATGAAAATATAGTACTTCTTGAATATAAAATTTGGTGAACTTAATGGTATATTCTTAAGTCAAAGCTCTATTTTCTATTAAAAGGTGTTCATTCATATGTCAATTATAAGTGGAGCATCTAAACTTGTGTAGTTTCAAAATTGGCATATAAATATAATAAATATCAAGATAACATCAAGAACAAGGTAATCCTTGTTTTCTTTATTCTATTTTTGTCTTCAAAACATTTTTTCTAAAAAGTACCTTGGATGTTTGTTTCTGTAAAGATAGAGCCTACATTTTTTAAAGAAAAAAAGCAAAGTTTATTTTGCTATTTAAACCTATTGTTACTTCTGAGATACTCAGTTATAGCTTTCTTCCATGTCACTTTCTTTCCCCCAAGAATCTCCTTTAAGTCATCAGTCCTTTAAAGATCCTCTCCTTTTTCTTGCTTCCTGCTCTAAAAAAACCCTTTGCCTTCAGTCTTCTCCTCTTTCTCTCTAGGCACACATTTATTTAATTTACTTTACTAGCTGTATACATTGTGGTTGTTGCATCTGAAAAATCATGCTTTTGTCAGTTCTGAATATTAGTCAGCATTATGTCTTCAGATACTACCTCTCCCCATTTTCTCTGTGGCATTTTTCTAGAACTCTAAAGAAATACTAAGTTTATTCACTTTTACCCTCCAGATCCCTTAGCCTCCCCTTTCTACTTTTTATGTCTTTTTCTCCATGTGCCTCACTCTGCTTATTTATTCAGATCTATATGCCCAGGTTCTTCTTCAATATCTAATCTCTTATTTAATCCCTACATTGAGCTTTTAATGTTAGTAATTATGTTGTTCATTTCTAGGATTTTCATCTGTTGTTCTTTCAAATCTGCCTGGACATCTTGGTAGTTGTTCTTTTATTTGCTTGTTTGTTTTTAATTCTACCTTAATTATTACAAAGCCTTATACATAATACATATTCTATTCTGTATATTTTTACTGCAATTCCCAAAGTCCTTGAAGGTCTAAATCTGTTGGAATGCTGTTTCTACAAATTAATTCCCCTAGTATTTTCTTGCTTCATGTACTTATTTATTTTTTATTATCAGCTTACAAAGTTCAAGTTGAGAAGAAAAAGAATGGAAGGAGAATTTGAGAGAGATGCTCTGGAGCATTTTATAAGTCTTTAGATGTAAAGATGAGGACATAAATTAATAGAATCAAAGGGAAATGTTCTTTTTTTACTTTTACTTTTATGCCATTATCTCAGTTGCTGATTTAAGATAAATTTTAATTGCATATTTTGCTTCTTTTTTATAAACAAAGTTATTGGCAGAACCATAGTAACATCTTAGTGGATATTACAACTTAAATTATTTTAAAATATGCTTTATAATATTTTAAAAATATATCCATATTACCTTTTAGAATTCTTTTCCACTACAATTACAAACTATGTTACTTTATCTACCACAGCAAGACAGAAATCTTTCAGAATATCCCAGGTCTTTTCTAAAGAGTTGCTTTTATCATGCTAATCATTTCATTCAAATTATTCGAAGTGAATCATTCCATAATAAATATTGATGATCATAAATCTCCGTTCTGCTTCTATTTATGTACCACTTTATTTATTATTTTATTCAAAGTATCAGCAGAATCCTTGGATACAATTACAGATTAGCATTTAATTGTGAATTGAGTATTACGCTAGAAGTAAATCATAGCCAGTGGTTTTCAGTTGTAGTTATTTTTTATATTAATAAAACAAATATATAGAAAAGCACAGCATTATGTCTTCATAGAATACATAGTATAATATAAATAGCATGTAATTTTCCTACAAAGAAGTGTGAAATGATATAAAATCTTTCTCTTTGCTTCATTGGCTATGCCACAGAAAGGCAGATTGATCATTTACTAAACAATATAGAAAGATGTAAAGTCCCTACTGTTAGATAGTTTTAAACCAGTAAAAATCAGAGCAGGTATGGTATTGAGGTAACCAAAATAACAGACAAAATGTGTAAGAATGAAATTGCACACAAAATTCTGCACGCAGAAAATTCAGTTATTTCAGACATAATGTTGCAAGAAATTTCAAAGTCAGCTCTGAAGACAACATGAATCATAATTGTAGGAACATTGAAAGTGTTATAACAGCATATGAAATACAATAACATAATAACATGTTACAAGATTACCAAGGGAAGAGAGAACAATTTTCATTTTACAAATTGATTAAAATTTTCTCCTACAGTGATAGGTCTAATTTTAAAAGATAAGAATGGGATAAATGAATTCTTGGTGGAGAGAAGACAATGGGCCATGAGTTAAAACCTTGGGTATGTAATTCTGAGTATCAGGAAGAGATTCAAAACAAATGCATTTTATGGTTTATAGGGCAATATAGGATAGAAATATCAATTTTAGAAGTTGGAAAGTGAACAGTATTATAGTAACTGCCTTAGCAGACAAAAAGAGATATGAGCAAGCCCTTCCATTCTGGAAAAGCTGAACAATGTTGGGTTGGAAAGAATTAATATATATTGCTTCTTTTTACCTCATGACTTATTTTCTATCTCAAGCCAAGAAAATATCATTTTTCTCTTTTTAAAGGCATCATTCATTTTAATTTATCTATTAATAAAATCTACCTCCCTCATATGTTGAGGCTACTGTTTGGATCTCAGAAGTTTATAGAATTAAATATTGTCATATAGCCAAGTATTGTCTAGAGCAGCCTCTAAATAGGTAGGAGAGCTGGAGGGCACTAATACAGCTAAGCCAAACTGGGTCACACACCATAAATTTCAAGGCTGACGCCATTGATGAGGCATCCACATCTCTTTTTGCTTTCCAAGGCTGCCACCTGTATCCCTTACCTGTATAAAAACAGCTTCTCTTCACAAAAACAGCTACTCTTTATTCATTCAGACTACCCAATGGAAAGACAATCAGTTCCAAACTATAAAAACCAGTGATGCAGCATGGTGTCAGCAAGGCTCTGCAAACCACCAGTACTAACCAGTAAAATTTATTTCTGTGCTTACTAATAAATGAACCATTCATAATATCTTGCAATCATTTCCACATGAGCCTCCTTATCCACATGTTCTTTAGTTTTCCATGTTTCACTCGTTATTGTCTATGTTTCAAGGTTTCTTGGACAAAACACGAGCACCTAACATTTCTTCAGCGTGAACTCACCTAAACCTCGCAGTCCCAGAGCTTGCCTCTGTAATATTTTTCAGCATTTTTTGAAGCTTGAGAATGTCTGCTGTCTGCAAGTGTGCTAGCTCCTAAAAAGAAGTGAGAAAAGAGGAATGAGCTCTATAAGTCTAGTTTCTCTCAAACTCAGCTAGTAAAAAAAATCATTCCTTCTCCCCTGTGGAGAAATGAGTGAAAGCCCAGAGCGTGTAACATTGTGTTACACTCACTGATGTCCCTCAACGTGGAAACAGAGCCAGAAGAAATGAGACTCAGCATCTATGCCCCAAAATTTATTTTCATTTTCCTTTGCTTGTTTTGGGCATTTCTAATTTTTACATCAGATAAACAAATTTACTAAAATGATTAGAACAGAAGCCCTTTATTCTCTTTTCTTTCCTGTCACTTAACCCAGGAGTAATTATGGGGTAATACATTTCAACATGTGTCACCTACAAATGAAAACTTTAAGGATGCTTTCTTAACTTTGAATATTGGTGGTAAATGCGATCATTCATTTATATTGTGTAATTTATTCATTTATTCAACACTTACTTGTATTATATGGAAGCTTTATGTTCAGGGTCAAACACTGTGAAGTTATAATAAAATAGAGGTGTGAGTCTATCTTCAGGGGAGGCATAGTTTAGTAAGGAAAGTAAGCTATGACTATAAAATAACATATTAAGTGATCAGCAAAATAAGATTAATAACAATAAAGTAAAAATGTCTTCCATCTTGGAGCATCAGGAGATAATCTATGAAGGATGAAGTGGATGAACTGAACTTGGGTGGAAGGTAACATTTGCACCCAAGAAGGGAGAGACATGTCAAAAGTGAAGAAAGAGGGTTATTTCACACAATATGTGTTTTCGCAGTTCTACGCACTGTTCTATATCCATGAACCAAAGATATGCCCTGACCTCATAGATCTTACTTTTAAATAAGAGAAACAGACAATAAATGAGTAAATACAATGAATATTAGGAAGGGATTGTAACTACAGAGAAAAGTAAAACTGTTGAGAAATTAATAACTAGGTTAAGATTATTTTAATAGGGTGGTTAGGAAAGTCTTTTCTGAGCAGATGACCTTTTAGTAGAGATTTGAACAAATATACTCACATCCAAATTAATCTAAAATATGCGTGCCTATAGTATATGAATCTTTTTTCTGACTCACTTATGCAATCAGTTCCTGTGTTTCAAAATTTAAAAAGTATGATAAGGCAAACAGTGGAAATCTCCCTCCTACCCCTGTTCTCTAACCACCTAGTTAATATCTAACCTCCCTTATAAATATCTGGAGAAAGTATTTTAAGCTAAAGAAATGGGGAATAGAAAAGCCCTTAGGCCAGAGTTCTTTTGGCATTGTGGGAAATGCAAAAGGTGGAGCAAGAATTATAGGCAGTGATGTTGGAGAGATGGGCCAAATTATATCAAGTTTGTGAGCCATGGACAAGAATGACGATTCATGTTAAGAGTGCTGGCAGGCCATTAGAGAATTTTGAGCACTGAAGTGACATGATTTGATTTACATTTCTTAAAAGTTTACTCAAGCAGTATGTAAAATAGACTATAAGAGGACAAGAATGGCAGCTGGGTGGGCCAGATTAGGGAGCCTTTCCAAGATCCCTAATGAGACATGAATAAAACTTGGATGAGGGCAAAAATGTAGAAAATGGTGTATTCTCTGATTCTCCTGTCAATTAGAGATGCCTGTAGGCAGTAATTAGTTACATAAGTATAAAATGAAAGGATAGCTAGAGAGAGTTGTTTCTTTGCTCATTCAAGTTCACAATTAAATTTTCCTTCTTTGGAACTTTTCCCACGCATATCAAAGCCATGTGATCACTGTCTCTGAAAGTGTTAAGTCCATGATTCGAAATATGTGAAGTAATTTTACAAGTTAGAAGATACAGCAAAGTAGGTGTTGGTACAAGTAATATGCTTCATGGAGACTTCAAACTTAATTATATCTAATAATTATCTATTGCTAATCTTGCTTATTTTCTACCTAGCATAGGTTTTAGACAACTGATATGATTTTATGAGTATTTAAAAAATTTAGGCCTGTCATTTTTTTGTTAATTTCCCATCCCTTCAGTAATGTCATCTCCATGAACATTCTCCTTCTCCATGCACACTATCATAGGTGTGTTCAAGCTTCATTTCGGGTGTCTGTGGCTGTAGAAACTTTGGAGCTCTTTGTATACTCTTTAGACTAGGCATGATTAAGAAGTTAAATTGAGAGACTTTGTCAAAATCATTAATTTTCCATGATGTTCGAGTAACTGGGTTGGACTGTTAAGCAGATTGTACAATATTGCTTTTCGGATTGAATGCACCACGTCTCAAAGGAGAAGATAGCTGTAGAGCTTTTGGGCTACACCGTAGAAATGTAATTTGTTTGTTCAACAAAGCATGGCAGCTAAACCAATAGAATTGTTTGTTGTGCAGTCTTTCTTATTAGACCATGTTGTAAAGCTCCAAGGAATGTAGAATGCTAAAATAAATTAAAATGCAATTTTTCCCCCTAGATATTTTTGAATGCGGACACAATTCGGCTGGGAAATCTGCCGACTGGCTCTTTCTCATCTTCACCCAGCTCCTCAAATGCTCAACAGACAGTGTATGAATTGTGTGTCTGCCCCAATGGCAAACTTTACCTTTCTCCAGCAGGAGTAGGTTCCACTTGTCAGTCCAGTAGCAACATCTGCTTGTGGAGCTGAAGTGACTGATTTCTCCTCACACCAGAATAGCCTTTTGTTCCTGTCCGTCTGCTTCACAATTCTGCTCGGTTTCCCTTGTGATAAGTCCAGAGCTTCTTCAAATGGTCCACAGAGCAACCTCTTCCAGCATAAACAGGGATTCGCCGCCACTTTCTCTTGTGATTTACTGTACTGCTCAACACAGAGAGTTTGAGCGACACAATCGTGGAAAAATCATCTTAAAAAAAGGGAGAATAACATAGGTGCCTTTGCTACATGAAGTGAAGCACACAGTTTTAGATTTTTGCAGGACCTGGATATGAACTGCACATATATACATTACATAGATGAAATTCCCAGTATCCAATGGCAAGATGAAATGGTTAACCTTGTAAGAAAACTAATTCTACAGTCTGAAAGCACAATTTTCCATTCATCTTTTTGGATGTAAACTTTTTTCCCCGAATTTTAAATTTTTAAAGCATTATGTAATGCTTGCTTTACTAAAAATTAAATTCAATACATGATTTTTAACAAAACAAAACAAGACAGAATCCCATTCTAAGTTTTATTGGTTTCTTTAAACTCGATGTGTTGTTATTCTTTGTCTACTAAGTCTAGAATTTTGTACATTAGGTAATTTTGAAAGCACTCAGCAATATAATCTTTACAGAGTTAACAAAATGTCATTATACTGTCATTTGTCAGATCTGAATGGCCTTATATAGTACTTACTTGGCTATTGCATGTGACGTATTTACTTTTAACAGAACATCTAATTTATTGCAATATAAAATAGGATTAAGAGGGACATACAGTTGGTGTGGAATCCACATGCTATTCTTTATACCTAGGTTCTAATAGTACAATTTTTGTTTGCTCCATTCACTTTATACTTGACTCTGACTGCTAAAATTCAAACATCTAAATAAACACTAATGTGATGCATAATGCTGAGAATGGATACACTTTCCATTGGAATATCATTTTCAGAATTATATCTATGTATTTTTTCTTGGAGGTTAAGATTTAAGGATGGTAGAAATTAATTAAAAATTTCTGCTTAAACAGTAAAAAAATACAGATGTTAACAAACATGTTAAAATGTGTTTACTCCATTAGATTCATATTTTGAGGAATTTGTCACATTTTTTTGGCTCTTAACATTTAGTTACTTTTATCAGACTGTTAAGCTGCCCTGATATGAGCAATCACAGTTAATTTCATTCTCTATTGCTTGTTTTTGTAAATTCGCTTCTAATAAATAACTCCAGAATACTGTAGATTCGTTTATCACAATACTCCTTAACTCAAATTCTTGAAACTTACAGAATCCAAGAATGTAAAATTGTATTAAATGTTTCCTATTATGGGAAGATGCCTTGATTACTGTAAGGTAAGTCCTTAATTTTCACATTTTAGTCAATCTTCCCCTCCCCTCCCATGCACACTCTTACAGGTGTATGGAAGCTTCATTTTGAGGGTTCATGATTGTTGAAACTTTGGCGTTCAGGCCTCTACAGCACAGAGTGAAGTAGGAAATTAAAACTTGTTGAAGTTATTTGGGTAGTGGAAGTAGGAAAATTGAGTAACGCAAGCAAGGAAGTGAACTATTTGGCCAAATTATCTGGTTTGGATAACCTATCATGATGAATAATTGAAAAGCTCCATTTCACAAAATTCATTCTATACTCAGCAGAAGAGTTAGAAAGCTAGTGCAGTTTTATTAGTTTTAAAATAGAACTTGACTTGTGTCTGGGGCTTATTATATAAAACTTTAAATCAATACTGGACTAAGAATTAAGATATGCAATTGCTTAAAAGTCATATCATAATATATGCATTTCAATCTATTTCAGTTAAAACATTAGAATTTAACATAAGAAATACTCACATTGGTTTTTGCAAAATACTAATACAAAGTATAATGCAAGAAACTTCAAGAAATTATGGGTGCTAATCACTATATTTTGGACTTTTTAGGAAAAAAACATGTCTTAATTTGAGTCATATTTGAGTTTAAAACATCCCTAAATTAAAACAATTAGAAAGTTTATTAATCAAATAGGAACAATTTTTTATTAGTAATTAGCCCTGTTTCTAATTTCAGCTCTGTCTTATACCCAGTGAGCTGATTTAGGCAGTATGGAGATATCTTCAGGCTTCGGTTTAACTCAATTTGCAACAAAAGTATTGAATCAAACAGTCTGTTGAGATCCCTTCCAGATCTGTTGAGATCTGTTGAGATCTCTTCCACCGCCTATAATATTTGCTGTTTACTCCAACAGCAAATATTATAGGAGGTGGAAGAGGCAACTGAAAATTTAAATTATATATCATAAGAGGGGTAAAGACAGAAAGAGTGATGAGACCAAAAAAGTGGAAAAGCCAAATCCAGTGAGAGGCTGTCAAGTTTTGAATTTAAATGTATTCTGAAATGTTATAGAAACACGTAAAAAGAAATAAATAAGAGATTGAGACTATGTCTAGATAATGTGAAAATACCTGTTCAATTTAATAGGAAACAAATAGTGACGCAGATGGCTTTCCTATCCAACACTAAATAATTTGTTTAAATTACTTGACTGGCTGTTTTAGATTCCTTTGTATCTAAGTATAGACTCAGCCTCAGAGTTCAAGATTCTATTGAAGGCATAGTATATTGCTCCTAAAAGTCCTTAATTGTCTCATATAAGAAGACTTGGTTCTTTCTCAGTACAGAGTTCCTTTCATTGTAGACTACCCAAACTGATTCATTATCTGTTTTTTTCAGTACCGTTTTTAAATTGCAACATATATTAATAGAGTACAGTTTATTTAGATGCAAATTTTATCTTTCCTAAATCAAACTCAGAAAGAAAAAAATGAGTCTTTAAAGTGTACTACACAGACCCTAAATTTTGTATTCAGTGTAGCTGGAGATAGCAGAAAGGGAAGAAAGGAAGGCAGGCGGGCAGGAAGGATAGAAGGAAGAAAGGGGACTAACAGCATTCTTAGCATTTAAATTCTTAGCTAGGAATGAATAAACTGAGAAGTTTTTGAGTTCGGTTAACTGAGGTCTAAAGGAGAGAAGCAAAGACAACACATTTTTCTTTTTTCCTTCAGAATTTTTCAGTAAGACACCTCCAAAAAATACACTTCCAAATTTCCTGGGGTTTTCTGCTAATAGCTCTAACATTTCTACCCTGCGCTGCTTTGTCTTTTCTTTTTTTTTTTCCTTATTTTATTATGAACCATAAGCTTTATAATCTGGTACAAAATTATTTATCTAAAAATTAAGATAATTTTTATGCTTCAAATTTTACATTACCCAGAAAATCTTAGATTTCAGTACCTCAAATCTCTGAAAATGGAGCCAGGAGTTTCAGTTCTCATTCTGTCCCTACCTACTCACATGAACCTAAAGAAATCTACTTAATTATCTTGGTCAGAACTTACGTATCTTTGAGAGGGGTACATCAAACTAGAAGTTTTTTTGGTTATTTTCATCTCTAAATTTCACTAGTTAACTTAAGACTCGGCAGTCTTGGGTTTAGTAGCCCAGTTTGAACTTAGCATTATTAATCTCTTTCTGTACCTTAACATGTTGCTTATAAATGTTAATGGAAATCTTTCCAGCATTCTATTCCCTACTCCTTTTTCTATACTCTCTTTCTTGCTCTTACTATTTAAACATTAATGTCCTTTTCAGAAAATCATGCTTTGTTGACAAGCTTCAGTAATTTGGTTGACATTAAAAAGGAAAAGAATGTGTTTGGGTCTTTTTTAAAATGACTAGGAAATTAATAGAAATATTTACCAAATATTAATTTCCTGTTGATCACTCTCTTATTACTTATTCCTTCAAATTAAAAAGCATTGGTCTTCTGAAAAAAGGTAATTTGATCGCAAAGATCAATTGTGAATTTTTTATAACGTTACGCCATTCAAAATTCCTACATGCTCTACCATCTGAATCCCTCAATTGGACAGTTTTATTTCATAAAACTAGCATTTAATATAATAAAACTAATGAATTATGTCAATGCAAAAATGGCATCTCTGTATGAGGCAACAATAGGTAGAGGCTCTTAAGAGTGTGTTTAATGCACTTAAGTGCTAAATTTTATAGCAGTTAATGTCAATACCATAATATTAAATTATTGAAGTAGTTGAAGATATTTAATGGCCAAATTCTCTACACAGCCATCAAAGAAAAACTCACATTTAAGTTTCATATTAGTGAGGTCTTGTCATCTTATACTTTTAGTACCTTTTGTCTAATTAGAGTGACTCATGTGCAGATACTTGGAGAAATTATTTTCTCTATGTACTCTTGTATATTATAGTAATGAATATTGCAAAATATCATTATCACAGAGTAAAATAATACTGTATTTTTATTCTTTTAAAACAATCATAAACTAATGAATGACCTCACTGGAAACGGTTATTCATATTGTTTTATATTGTAGTTCATTAGTTGTTTAAATGTCAAAGACCAAAGACTGGGATTTCTATTATATTTAATTCTAAAATTTTGCTGCTTCTATGAATTTATTCAGATGAATAGGAGAGATTATAATTATAACATGAGGTAGTAAACATCCATCCTTGCTGGATTCTGTGCTGTAGATTATTAATTAACGCTTTTGTTTTAGAAGGGAAACTTTGTTAGTGTAGTCCACTTACTTTTTATACGTGCATAATAAAATCCTTCGATTCATAAAACCAGTATGTAAAAACTATGTCCCAAAATAGGTCCAGGATAGATTTACTCAGATGAGTTTAAACTTTCATTGCTTGGTAAAAGTTCTTTGGAGAATATAATTAATTTGAAATACTTTTAGAACCACGGGGCTATTTTTAAGTGTGATTGAAGTGGTTCCACTCTTTGAGAAAGTCAATGAAAAACATTAAAGAAAATATGGTATAATGAATTGTGATTTTTTTTGTTTTTGTTTTTGCAGTCTTAATATCTCATTTGTCTGAATATTTATAAATAAAAGCCAAACAGGGTTAAAGATGTGCAAAGACATTCGCTAACAATGGAGATGTGTAATTTTGAGTTTCTGTCTCGTTATTTATAGAATTCTTTAAACCAGGTCCACTACTCATTTATTTTGTTTTGTAATTTTCATGTAAATGTTTTCTTGTATATATATTAAAAATGGAACTATTTTCTTACACATACTATGCAATATGTTTGTAAAATTGCAATATTACCAAAATTACAAAAGCTGTGCTTTTGTACTCTATCTTGCTTTATGTAAAATCTATCTTTTTCTATTTAAATGGACTATCAGTTCCATAAACTGTAGATAACATATCTATTCAAAAATCAGTGTATTGTATCTTTTATTTAGTTTGGGGTGGAGTGGTCTGTATTTCTTTTGGGAGAAAATGCAGCAAGTTTGGCAGTTGGAAACTTTTTTCTTCAGAAAATGTGACCTTTGAAGCATGCAATGAGCTCATATAATTTAAGATCTCTCTTGTAATTGTTGTATTTTGTCCTAATTTTGGTGCTATTGTGTAACCATGATTAAATGTGATAGTCAAAACAAAAAGGATCAAA